CTACTATCTCTACGTAGCGGTACTATTCAAGCCCGCACTCTTAGTATGAAAGGTTCTATATCAGATGTGAAATGAGGTACTGTCTCCTGTAATTCACTAAAACCGAGTGCATTGCTCTGGCGTATATGCCCGGCAGAGCTTACCGTCCAGGGAGACGACAATGATACAACAGTCAATTGTAGCAGGGAGGTGGTCTTTAAATCCTGTGCGTTGGTGATTCCCCTACTATGCCAAAGGCTGTTGTCTACTAAGAAACATACTTCAGAGTACTTGAAACATCGTACGTCGCGTTGCCGTATGAAATCGTGGAGAAGTAGTATCAGCCGTAATTAGATCATTTCTCGGTGTATTTCTTTGGAAGACGATCATTCTACTACATGACCCATAAAGCGATAGGTCGACCTCACTTCCACCCAAAATTGCCAAAAAAAAAACACGAAATGAATAAAATCACTCGCGCAGGCAATGGAATTGGTCAATCAACAGAGCGGCCAAATCGGGCATATTCACTAGATTTTCATCAACTCGCCCCTCATTATATTTCTTGAGAAAATGCTGGATCAAGAAATATCCAAGTAGATACATCCGGCTCGGGGCAAGCTGAGCTTTCGTCAGTTCCTGTTTGCATACGGCTGTCTTCATTGAAGCGGATCGAGCAGATGTCCGTTCTTCGAGCTGAGATTGTAATGCCGAAAGGTGTGCATGAAGAAGCAAAATCCGTCGTGAATTGCGATGAGCGGCTTGACTCAATCTCTTCAGCTTCGGCCAGTTGCGTCTCTTTAGAAGTTGAATCTTAGTCACAATTTGACTTGTGTTCACTAAATTCCGTAATGGTAGCCGGGCCTTCTTGAGAGGGAGGGTTATCTTGTCAATACCCTTCCTCCCCTGCGAAACTTGTGTAAGCTGTGCTTGAGCGAACAGATCCGATACCGAAGTCATCGGGGCAAATGCTAGATTCAAACGTGGACGGTGAACTTTGGGCATTGTCGCCGGCAATGTTCCCACTGGCCGCTCTAGTTCATTGGTGACGACAGTCATACGATTCACTGGGGAGGTGCCCGAAAAGAGTAAGAACAAAAGTATCATACAACTGATGTAGCTTTCATCGGAGCCTTGACTTCGCTCATTTGACGGCTTCTTTTTTTGTAAAGCTGTGCCGAGACTTTGCTCAAACAAGTGATTTTTAGAATCCGTGGCCGGGTTGGCACAGGTACCGTGAGCTTTCATTTGCGCCGTGAATTTGGTATCTTCGTGCATTAAATGACCTGTCTGCACCGGACTATTAACCTTAAATAGTGATTGAATACGATATAATAACTGAAACGAGTTTTGAGTTTGGCAGTACATTATAATGCCACCTCGGCCAGCACTGTCGATTTCTGAGGCTACTCTCTAGTTGCGGGCCCTTTAGAATCAACGGTATGATGGTCGTTCTGGCAGGCAGCGAAATTGGACGCTGTGCAGCCTCACTATGGGAATGGCAATGGTCATACCAGGCTAAAGTCAACATCTAGAAATGGTAGTGTACATGCTCAAAACACGACCGAGCTTACAATGGGTTGACGATGACGATCTTCACCGTATTTACTCATTCCATTGTCATTCCGCTATGACTCCATGCTCATGCTCAGTTTTACCACTGGAAAGTAGCTGGGGCTTGAAATAACAGTTTTCTCGACATGATTGAGTCCTAGGTCTGGATTCCGTATCCCAAAGTCGGGTTGGAGAGGCAAGCTGCCCTGAGAAGAACTGTTCGCTCAAACTATCAAAATCCAGATCTAGAGAGCTATTGCAGATTATGTACGTTAATAACTTCACGAATCCCAGCCACTATGCGATATATATTCAAGTGTCAATTGAAAAGTGCGAAAACTCAGCTGTCCTAGGCAATATTCTCTTTTTTTATCCGGAAAACTCACAGCCGCATGCGGGCGAACAGCCACCGACCCCCCAGTCTGCTTATGCAAACGAAGCAGGATAAAGCCACGTATAGCAAAAATACCGATCAAAACGAGAATGCCACCGAGGACAATACTAAGTAAAAGCGCCACGCCCTGTTTTGAAAACCCCACCGATATGTTACTGCCTGATATTGCCGTGTCTTGCCATTCACGATTTGAGGTTTTCGTGACTGATATGGGTCCTATTGTCTGCGAACTACTTTGAGAACTGGTTGTTTCTGCCAAAGTTTGTGACAAAGTTGGGAAATCATGAGTGGTGACCTCAGATGAAGAATGTCTCGTGGTCTCACTGATATGTCCAGCAATGACAGACCTCCCGGTACCAAAATTGCTTGTCATCTCTTTCTGCGAGAGGTTCCCCTTGCCAGTTTCTGTGCCCATGCCATCTTTTGTATGCTCCTGGCTCAAAGAAAAATCTAGAGGCGCCACGTAGGATTCCGATGAATGTTCTGGATGCGATGTATCCGAACTCGCAAAGCCTTGAGGAGGAACACGATCTAACTCAACCGGTAGAAGCGCAATTTTGCTAATGACTTCCTGAAGCAAGCTTGTAGCGTCGCTCTTTGAATCTGCTTTCGGTAGGATGCGGTCATCAAAGCCAGTGTTGATGTGTTGTCCTCTTATGGTACCAGTTGAGAGATCTACCCCGGTCACTCTTCCACTATGGTCTAATTTCGTTGCAGATGCAACGGCAAGGGTGTTGACTGGAGAGTTGGACTTTGATCGCAAATGATCACAATATAATGGTCGGTGCAAGGTCAGCGAGGAAGACTGTTTTGAGACTGGCATTTCGTGAAGTCTCGAACTGTCCTCAGGTGATACCTGGCTTATCTCAGAACCAGTGAAATGATTGGATGTAGGCTTCCGCGAAGCAAATGTCGGCTGCGTGTTCCTTGTTGTCAGCCATATGTCCAGAAAAGCGACAGTTGATCTCGAGATGTCGTAGGAAACAAGGGGAAGTCGGGATAGAGGCATGTACGATACATACGTTAGCTTGGCGGTAGTTGCCTTTTTCCATTGCAAGTTGCTTCACGTGCTTGATGTGAAATTAATCAAGCAAGGGAAGGCCAGAGCATCTCTCCGCTTAGTCTCATACTGATATAAGCTGACTAGCCCAATATGTTGGGTCTTTGCCAAATGGCTGGTATGATTCCTTGTATCCAACATTAGAATTTGAGGTAAGATCCAAGGAACGTAGACTCACATTGTTACTTTATGCCTCATGCTGGGGATAGAAAATGTCAATCTTGCATATCAACGTCGAGCCGCATTTCTTGAATTCTCTAACCCGCAATTGGTCTAGCCCGCAATTTATATCGTAACAGGTGAGAATCGTTGGGAAAATCCGCGGATGCGGTGAGCATCGTTGAAGTCAGCTTCGATGCTCAGTCCATGGCATTGCGACATACATAAATGCTGCATGCAGCCGTGGCAAACTGCTGTTTGATTGCAGTAAATTAATCGACAGATGGCGCCTGCTCTAAGCCGTGTCGAGCGAGAGGAACTCCGCAAGCGCCGGGTCAAGCGAGAGCAACTCCGCAAGCGCCGCAACAATCTATTACGGCGCCACAATGAATTTTGGCTTCTATATGGGATGAAGAGCTGGCTCATCATGGAATCGCCTGATGGTCAGATTTTCACATATCACTCTCACCCAGATACCCCTCCACCCTCCAGGGAAGACATGGTAAGACGATGTTGACATAAGGAATGGTGATTTGCCGCTGATTGGTGAAAGAAAATACGCCCCAAGTCTACTGTTGTTCGAACGCCTCGCTATTATAGCTCCATGGCCTCTGCTCAGCCAGTCGACAAAGAGCCCCCCCGTTCTCTGCGCTCCAGTTCGTCAATACAACAGATGGGAAGCTCTAGCGCAGCTTTTGGAGAATAGTCGTCGCATGTTTTCGTGATCATCGAACCCTTTTGCGCCTACTTAGTTCACTTTGGTGCACAGTGGGATTCGAGAATTAGCAGATCTCAGCGCAGTCGCTGAAGCAATATATCAGCTCTGTATGACATTAAATCTCTTTGGGTTGCTAGCAAATCTTGCTATGTTTTTTGTGTACCCCATACATGCTCTGTGGACTGTGGTATATTGTTAAAGGGACAGTATCTGTCGGATCCGAGGGATGCAGGCACTAGTACTCGAACAAGCACCAGCAAGAAACAGACCAAAAAACGAGTGATTCAACATACATAATTTACTACCCTCTTTGGTTTGTGAAATGGCTTTGGCTCACTGACAGGAGGGGACCGACCGTCGGTGGGTGCTTAGTCACGATGATGGGTTGATGGGCCCCAAATGGGCCCCAAACAGTACAAACATGCCGAGAATTCAGGTGCCAAGCAAAGTTGAACCCTCTTTTTCGGATTTATCAATTACCTTCCGTTTTAGTTACCACCGTTTTTCTACCTTATCACTAAGGTAATTTTTAGTTAATTTTGTTATTTTAGAATTAGTTCCTATTAACTCTTTATATGACGTCTAAAGTCGCGAAAAGACGCGTGTATTTAGGAATTTTATAAATTACAGAGGTTCACTAGAAAGTGGTGGTATATATATCCAAGATCAAAACATGAATATCAACATTTTTCGCGATATCTTGACTTCCACCGGTCGGATCCAACTCAAAACTGAAACATGTAATAGTATCACTACTATAAATCTATCTTTCAAATTTGAACTTTGTACGACTAGTTGAAGTTCGTGTTACAGCGATTACACATGTCGATTTGTCAGCGTTGAAATGGGTTTTAACTAGTTGTCGGAACGTGGTCGTTACAGTACGGACTAATACGGGCATAGCCAATTGAGTACTTGAGAGTGTGTTTTCTATATACTATAGAAAGTGCAGAATAAATAGGGGATGAGCTTAGTAAGGTCGTTGAGAGCCTTACGATCGTCAGGCAGAGGGGGTGCTGAATATTCCTCGGGCGCACTAGTAAAATGGCGACCCTCTTTTGTTGACACACCCCCCAGCAGCCAGCTCATGTCTGAGAACGCGACGTTGAGTGCGATCTTCTTTTCTCACTTCCACCTCATTTGATAAGGTGCTGTATGTTCGTGAGTCCGAGAGCGCGCATGAAACTGCTGTGATTTTGAGCAGGTAAGAGCTTCGTGAGTCCATCCGCGGCCATATCTTTGGTGGGAACCCAGCGGATAGCGATTTCTCCGGCTTGGACGGCCTGCCGAAGCCAGTGATTGTGAATATCAACGTGGCGAAGCTTAGTACTGAGTTGAGGCGTCTCCTTGGTGAGAAGGCCGACGGTCTGGGTGTTATCGCACTGAATTTCCATCGCTTCTGAGTTCTGGTATTCGAGGTTGACCGCGGCGAGTAGACGTTTCCACCAAAGAGCTGATTTCGCTGCCTCGGATAGGGCTAGCAGCTCTGCTTCTGTGGTAGAAGTTGTCACGGTCTTTTGCTTTCCAGCTTTCCAGTCGACTGCCCCGCCGAACAGCTTGCAGAGGTATCCTTCCGAGCTCTTGCGGTCCTTATGGTCGCCGAACGATGCGTCGCTAGCGAATTGAAGGGCAGGCTCGAGGTCATGCATTGGATGGTACTCGCGGGCGAAGTAACGAGTGGAGTCGAGGTAACGGATGAGCCGGTCGGCTGCTTCAAGGTGTTGAGGTCCGGGATTAGTGAGGAATTCGGCCAAGTGGCTGGCAGACTTCGCAGCATCTGGACGGGTGATGATGGTCCCGTATAGAGCGGATCCAACCTTTTGCTGATATTCGTGGATCTGTGAGGCTGTAGCTTGGCCTGTGAACGAAGCCATACGTTCCACGGGCAGTGGTGAGAGATATTTCCGACCACTGGAAAGATGATAGCGTGCAGCTACCGATGAGAAGTAGGAGTCTTGGCAGAGCCAAAGCTTATGATTTTGCCGGTCGCGCAGGATTCGAATCCCAAGAAACCAGGTGGCTTCTCCCATATCGCGAAGCTCCCAGTGCTTCTGGAGCTGCGTGCGGAGCTGACTGGCCTCGCTAGATTTCGAACGATGGTAGACGATGACGATGTCGTCTACATAGAAGAAGACTATGATGCCGCTGCGGGTGAAGAGGCAGAGGTCTTCTGGGACGGCCTGAAAGCCCAGCTTCTCGAGTACCCGGGTGGCTTCTTGTTGCCAGAGTCTCGGGGACTTCCGCAATCCATAAAGGGCTTTATTCAGCTTCCAGCAGCTCTCTCTGTCCGTGAATCCTTCGGGCATCTGAGTATAGACCTCTTCATCGAGAGTACTGTTCAGGAATGCGTTCACGGCGTCGAGCTGCATTGTTTCTAGGTCGAATGCGGCCACCAGGGCGAAGATAGATCTTGCTGTACGAGCTGCGAGGGTTGCGGCTCGTTTCTCTTCTGAATTGATGGCTTGGAGGTCTCCACGGACACAGATGCGAGCCTTGAGCTTCTGAAGAAAGCCATTGCAGTCAAATTTGTAGGTGAAGACCCAGGTGAGAGGCAGCACCTGAACGCTGCGGTCTTGGGGCCTTCGGGAATTGGTGAATGTGCCTCGTATTCCTAAGGATTCAATCTCGAGGCCTGCTGCAGCCAACCAACCTTCGCTGAATGTGTGGCTAACGGCTTGTTTCCAGTTCTGGGGTTCCGGCGGCAGATCATCGCGATGCTTTCGGTGCTGATCAGGCCTTGGTGCAGAGATTGCAGTGGCAAAGGCAGCTAAGACCCCCTCTTGCTCTTCCTCGTCATCGTACGTAAAATAACTGGCGAGGTATGGGTCTGAAGGTGGTTTTCGCTTCCGTTTTCCCTCCACGACATTATCTTCTGATATCCCTTCTTGGCGCCGATGTGGTGGCTGAAAGCCCATCGAAGGTCCGGGTGTGCCTGCTGGAAAGCTGCTTGTGATAGCTGCCTGTGGTTGCCTTGGCGGATCTAAAGATGTTCGGACCGGACCTGGCGGCATCGAGTCTTGAATGAGCTGCTCTGGCACTGCCGGGAGCGAATGTGTGTGTTCAGATGGTATCTGAGATGGTGTTGAAGATGGTGTGAGTTGCCTCGCTAGCGGCGAGGGCAGTGACACCGGAATGGGTGGCTCTGAATGAGCTGGTGAGAACTCCGATTCAGCTGGATGCGGCTCCTTCTCGATGCTTTCCTGCGGGGTTGCGGCCCGCTGGATGTCTGAGAGCGGAGATGGTGCAGCCTGGGTTTGAGATGTCGCAATGTCTTGTGACTGGGCCGAGAGTCGTTGAAGAGCCTGTTCGAGCTCGATGTCTAGCTCATCTTCTTGTACGACTTCTGTGGCTTCTGGAACGAGCTCGGGAGCTGGTTGTCGGGTGTGTTTGTGATGTTTGAAGCTAACATTCTCATCGAATTTAGCGTCCCGTACAAGCTTTACCATGTGAAGCCTAGGGAACCACACACGCCAGACATTCGTGGTTTTATAGCCAGTGAGATAGCCAATCTCAGCTCGTGGGCGCATTTTATCGGACTGAGGAATGCCCTGGATGCGTACGTACGTACGGCAACCATAGATACGAAGATTAGAGAGGTTGATAGGGATTTGGATGCCTGTCCCTAGGCGGTGGAACTCCTGCTGCGGAATGATCCAGCGTCCATCCGGTAGCCTCGTGGGCGATCTGTTGAGGATATATACCGCTGCGTGTACAGCTTCGGGCCAGAGGGACCGCGGAAGGTGGGAGTCGTGAAGCAGTGACCGTGAGGCTAAGATGATCACCCCCCCCAGATCGCTCCGCGTAGCTATTCATCTCGGGTGTGCCTACCAGACTGTGTATGACTACAAATCCACAGTCTTCGAGGTACTGCCGTACGGTATTACCCGCTGAACGTTCGTTGTCATAGTGGAAAACCCGGATTGGAAGGTTGAACCAGTTACGAAGGGTGGCAACGAATCTCCGTACTGCATCCTGGCAGCCGTTCTTCTTTGGGTGCGTTTCCACATGATGATACCGGATACCATCAAGATAGAAGTGAGTGATCCATAGATCACCATTGAACCCTTCCTTGATTTGCATGAGATCGAAATGAACTCGTCCAAGAGCCCCATATACCGGTGCTTGGGCTCGTCGGGAGACTTGACGAGTAGCTTTTGTCAGTTGGCACGTCTCGCAATGCTCGGGGTCCTCTTCCGTGCGCGTCTCCGCTGTGAGCTCAATACCGTCCGCCATCTCAGCAAGTTTTTCGACCCTCTGCTCGTACATATGGGCCAGACGCTGATGCCAGCGTTTTGGAGTGGCTTTGGATGTGAGAGATAAGGCCGAGCGCCGTGGGTGGGTGCTAAATGCTGCTGGCGATGAGAATTGAGCCTGATCTAGCATGAATAGCCCGTCCCATTCCTTTACTCTGGCTACCAGTCTTCCAGATACGGTCCCGATAGCCTCCTTTTGTGTATCCCAAAGTACGCCTTTCTTCTTCATCAAGCCCACGGATAACAAGCTGGTGTGAAATCCTGGTGAATAACGAACGTTTTCGACCGTCAGTGGGACTTGACGGTCCGTTTCTGGGTTTCTGCCCCAGATTTTTACTGTTCCTACTCCGTAAACGCCTGTCTCGGTGTCTCCAACCTGGATGTTTGCGCTAATCTCTTTGAATGAGATAAAAGCTTCGCGGTTATTGGTCACATGACGGTTGGCTGCGGAGTCAATTAGCCAGGCGCTTTTGAGTGGATTCTCGGCGTTATGCGTGAAGAAAGCGTAGGGGACTGGCCGAGGAATGTTCTGCTTGAGCGTATCCTCACTCGCACGGTCGGACTGCTGAGTAACATCATACGTGAAAAAACCGAGTCCGGTGTCATTGTCCGAATCCATGTTGGCAAAGTTCACGCTGTTCTTCGAATACACCTCTTTGTAGAGCTTTTCCGCCTTTGCTTTGGCGAACGGACTAAGCTTTCCGATGGTTTCTGGGATCTTCCTTTCGATAGCAGGATCTGGTTTCCATCCAGATGGCCGTGCGGATACAACTAGGTATGGACATGACTGGAAAAAGTGCTTCTGCCCACAGACACAGTCCGGGAGCTGTCTGGAAGATTTCTGCCGGGCTGACTGCGCTGGTGTTGATCCAGCTTCCTTCTGGCCATCCAAGGTGGCGAACCCCACTGCGGATCCTTTTCCACTCCTTTTCTTCTGCGACGTCGCGCGGAGCTGGCGGAAAGCGTTGATCACGCTGGTGAATGAGACAACATTATCCTCCTTCGTCTCCTTGAAGACTTTTTGGTAGGTATAGAAATAGAAATTCTCATCTAGCGGACGGGCGGCGCAGAGGAAGTCATATACTGCCACACGAGAATTGGTGGTATCAGGGACTTGAGCGCCGACGGCTTCTGTGTATAGATTTTCCCATTCCGTGAGCCATGCATCCACCTGCGAGTCCTTTGGAGACGACCTTGCCTTGTTGAGCCACCTCACCCGCAATTCCAGCATGCGTTCTATTTCCGAAGGGGAGAAACGGTCCTTAAGGGCTTGAAGGAGTGTTCGGGGATTCTCGATATCGGCGATGAGGTGTTGGTGGCTGGTAGCAACAGTCCGTCGGATTTGCTGGCCAACTCGGTCCAAATTTCGTTGTGTCCACCTGAACTGAAGGGTTTGACGATCTTGATGGGCAAGCAGGCGCTGAAAGACCTTGTAATTATCATCTGTCAGGTCTATTATTTCCTGAGCTCCCTCCTGGGCGTCGCCAGGCTGTGTTTCTCGGGGCTCCTCGGGGATCTTCTCTGGATTAGAAGCATCTGGATCCAGATACTTCCACACACCAAGGCTCTTAGCGGTGACCTTGATGGTGCTATACCAGGTCCTCCATTGGTCGGAAGAGCCTAGAATGATGCCTCCAGAGGCGCTGGGGCTGGATCCAGTGTCCAGGGCCTCGAGGTCTTGATATGGAAGTGACATCTCGCGTCCGGTTTGAAGGGACTGTATGTTGACAAGGACGTTCGGCTATGTATAGCTGCAGGGTGGTAAATATCGGTCGATATTGTGTTTACCACGGGCTAATCGGGCTCATAACTGTCGGAACGTGGTCGTTACAGTACGGACTAGTACGGGCATAGCCAATTGAGTACTTGAGAGTGTGTTTTCTATATACTATAGAAAGTGCAGAATAAATAGGGGATGAGCTTAGTAAGGTCGTTGAGAGCCTTACGATCGTCAGGCAGAGGGGGTGCTGAATATTCCTCGGGCGCACTAGTAAAATGGCGACCCTCTTTTGTTGACACTAGTTAATGGGGTGTATGGCCCCCACCAATGGGCCGTGGGCTCGAAGTTTAGGCCCAACCGGCTTATTGCGAGAGTCTAGGTTTACAATAGAGGGTGGTGGAGATGATATGATTCTCGACGATGAGGAATCAAAGCAAAGAATATATTCACCATGGGTACCGGCAAAACCGGTTGCTCAGCCTACTTTACCTTCTATGCCCTTAGTTCGGCGGCAGGTAACATTATCTAGCTGTGAAATAAAAGGTTAGACATGTTCTAAATGCCCTACACGTGTTCAATAGCTAAACATATGTTCTTATTGTACTTTTGATAGTGGACAAAATCGAATGGTTTTTGTTGTGATATGAGGCTGGTGCAGATCAGGAACCAAGCCGCACCGTCGGAATTAGCTCCGAAGTGTCTATACAGACGACCAAGTTGATTTCCAATCAACTTGGCTCATTGTTGTATATATAGGCTCATGTATTCCTCTGAAATAACAAGTCATTTCATACCTCTGAACAACAACAGGTTATGAGCCCGAGAGCAAAATCTCGGGTGCCGTCTCTACTCATCTGAGAATCAACTTGTCAATCTTGATTATATATCTACCCCGCTTTAGCAGTCATCACTATGTCTGCTCTGGTCCATGACTCGCCTGACCGAGCTGTCACGGCCATCGAACCTCTGACAGGAAGCGATAACTTCGCGACCTGGAAACGTCTCATGACCTCCTACCTGAAAGCCAGGCAGGTCTGGGATGTAGTGTCGGGCGACCTTCAGCGTCCCGACTGTCTATTCAAGTACGCCAAACCTATTACGGCGGACATCCACCCCTTGGTGGAGCCCCACCTCAATGGGGCGGTGAGGCAGCGAGCCATGGAAGCGCGCCTCGAAGTGGAGGTCCAGGCATTCGAGCGCCACCGTGAATGGTCGCGCCGCGAAGCCGAGGCCTACCACACCATCTTCCGGTACCTGTCCCCCCACATCAGCATTCATGTCGCGGGACTCGAGACGTCTCGTGACCTCTGGAATGAACTTGAAGAACGGTACCGGCGGATGGAACTCGCCACTTTCTGCGAACTATTTGCTCAACTTCGTGAGACAACCGGCGAACGATGTGCCAGTGCGCGTGATTTTGTTGATCGCGTACGGCTACTTGTACATCGATTGAATGCCATTGCTCCAGGATCAATCGGTGACAAGACTCATATTGCGATACTGCTTACGCAGATCGGACCGGAATACATCCTGGTTGTGGATGCGATCCAGAATGACAAGGATCCGGTCAACCCGACCACGATCGGAAATCGGCTGTCCAACGCCGAGCAGACGGTCCGACGAAAGGAGTCTCCCGTGCCCCCACAGGGAGTCCCAGGACCGTCAATAAATGCAGTGCAGAGAAATCCCAAGAAATGTACCTACTGCAGGAAGCGCGGCCATGTGGTCGCGGAGTGCTGGAAGAAACAGCGCGAAATTCACCTGCCTAGGGACCATGCCCTGAAGGCTGAACGGAGTGCTTCCGGCTCACCAAGAAACAACATGCAAAATATACCGTCAAGCCAGAGAGAAGATCGGCAGGGCCCGCCGACTTCCAAGAGACCGAGGATCAATATCGTGAGGGCGAGGGTGACGACCCTCTATACCCACGCACCGCAACCCCGGTGGATCCTGGACTCGGCCGCCACCAGCCACATCTGCTGGGACCGGAGCTGCTCCAGCAGTCTACGGCCCCACCGCGAGATGTTGGACACGGCGGGCGATCCAGTGGAAGCCGAAGGGATTGGTACGGTGAAGCTCACGCTCCGGGGGAAGTTCAACCAACCCCTGGTGTTAAAGAATGTATACTTCGCGCCACGCGTCGGGATGAACCTGATCAGCGTGCCGAAGCTGTTGCGAGACCGCTACTCGGTGGTGGCGCACCCGCAGAACGTCTTTGTGCAACGCCGAGGACGGACCGTGGGGACTGCCTACCATGCGGAGGAGGATCTGTTGATCCTGCGGTGCCATGTGAGCAGAAGATCTCGAGAGCGAGTCCAACTGGCGAGGGCGCCGGCGACCCGTGGCCATGCAGATTCCCTGGAACCGCAGGCGGTGGCCATGGACGTCGACGACCCTCAGGAGTCAAGTGACGCAGAATGCGCAACGTCAACCTCTGAACTCGGTGGTGAAGCTGTGATACTCGAAGAAGATGCGTGCAAAGGAGTGGACCAGGCATCCGAAGCGATGTGGCACGCTCGGATGGGACATCTGAACCGGGGAGACTTGAGGGTGGTCCTCCGGCAGACCGGCACTCCGTACCGACCGCTAACGCAGGCGCAGCTGCTGGCAACGCCGCAGTGCCCAGCGTGTATGTCGGGTAAGCAGCATCAGAAGAGGAACTCCCGTGCAAGACGGCCACGTCTGCATTCAACGAGAATCTTTGAAATGATCCATTCGGACATCATGGAGATGCCGATCGCCAAAGATGGCTCCAGGTACGTGATCACCTTTACTGACGATTATTCTCGTGGCTCGTGGGCATATGCCATGAGATGGAAGCATGAAGCGCTCCAGAAGTTCCGACAATTTGAGGCCTGGGTGCACCGACAGTTCGGCGCCCAGATCAAGAGGTTCCTCACCGACAATGGGAGAGAATACCTGCCGATCGGAACACACCTCGAGACCCAGGGAGTTGAGTTTGACACCTCGCCGCCATACTGCAAAGGGCAGAATGGACTGGCCGAACGCACGAATCGCACTATCCGGGAGCGGATCAACACGCTCCTGTCTGATGCGAACCTTCCTCCTTCCTGGTGGACCGAGCTTGTGGACACGGTGGTCTATTTGAAGCTGCGCGCGCCAGCATCAATTTTGCAGAAGAAGACCCCGTACGAAATCATCTACGAGAAGCCGCCCTCGCTGTTGCATCTGCGACGGATTGGCTCCCGCGCATGGGTGTTGATCCCGAAAGAGCAACGAGCAAAACTCGGACCCAGATCCTCCGAGTGCCGATTGCTAGGTTACTATGAACCGAACCAGTACAAGCTGTATGAGATTCATTCAGGCAAGACAGTATTTTCCCGTGATGTCGAGTTCGATGAGAGGACCCCAGTGGCGCCACTCATCGAGGGGGAAACAGGCAACGACCTCCCGGACAACGCTCCTCCATCACCTGTCTTTTCACCAGTGGTGCCACCTCCATCTAGCGCACTGCCTACGCCACCAGCATCGCCTCCAGACTTGGCTGAACGACTGAAAACGCCATCTCAGCATGTGGAAACACTTCCACCGGTCAATCCAATCGAACAGGAAGCAGAGTCCACACAGGACCTCGGCTATTCCATCTATGGCCGCAGAAGAAGACCCTCACGGCGCTTGCTGGAATCACTTGGCAAGGTGTACACCGCAGGCGCACTGAATCCCAAATCTGCGCGCACAGTCGATCCGTCGACTTTCCACGAGGCCGTGTCGTGCCCGAATCAACTGGAATGGTGGGCAGCCATCCAGAAAGAATATTCGTCTCTTCTCGAACACGGAACATGGGAAAAGGTTCGGCGAACAGACGTACCCGCCGGAGATCATGTGATTGGCTGCAAATGGGTCTTTAAGACCAAAGCCAACGGAACGCGCAAAGCGCGACTGGTCATCAAAGGCTACCGGCAGAAGCACGGCATCGACTACCATGAAACATTTGCTGCGGTGTCACGGATGGACTCGGTTCGCTGCATCATCGCCAGCGCCGTGTTACGAGGATGGAAGCTTCACCAATTTGATGCGGTCACTGCATTCTTACATGGTGACGTTGACTCTTCCATCTACATGGAGTTGCCTGAAGGCTTCGAAGAACCGGGATACGTTTGCCGGCTTCGTCGTTCCTTGTATGGACTCAAGCAGGCCCCGCGGATTTGGTACCAATGCGTCCACCGCGTTCTGGCCGCTCATGGCTTCACCATGGCACAATCGGACAACTGCGTGTTCTATAAATCCACTTGCGTGATCTGCGTCTACGTCGATGACTTTCTCGTTGCTGCATCAACCTCGCACGAGATAGACCAAGTGCAACGAGCACTGGAAAAAGAATTCCGATTGAACGACCTTGGAACTCCACGTTCGTTCCTCGGGATCCAATTAGACTACCATGCCGACGGAGCCGTTTCCATTCACCAACAACAGTACATCCAAAAGGTTCTTTCCGACTTTGGCATGGAAACCTGCCAGGCGAAATCTACCCCTATGAATCCCAAGCAAGACTTGAATCGCCGTCCAGACGAAGAACCTCCGGATGAGGAAACAAAAGCACGATACGCAACCGCCATCGGTTCATTGATGTATCTGATGGTCGGAACGCGGCCGGACATTGCGTTCGCGCTGGGTACGTTGAGTCGCTTCACGTCTCAGCCGCAATCGCACCATCAGGTTGCCCTGCAGCGATTGCTTCGCTATGTCAAAGCCACGCAATGCCATCGCATTACATACCGCAGTGGTCAGTTGATCGGATACACAGATGCCGACTTCGGTGGCTCCGTCGTCACTGATGGGGCATACTCCACGTCTGGCTATGTGTTCCAACTTGCAGGCGCACCAGTCTCCTGGTCGTCCAAGAGACAGGGGGAAGTGGCCACGTCGACGACTCATGCCGAGTACATTGGACAATACAATGCCCTTCTACATCTGCAGTGGCTCCGCACCTTCCTAGCAGAAACGCAAATGTATCG